AAAACCCACAGGCATTTCTCTCAAAAGAGAAGCACTCAGGATTTCCTGTCCTGTGGGAAGTCCCAGGTCACCCCCCCTCCTTCCAGGTCTAGGAAGGTGAGCATCCAAACAGAATAGGTTCCCACAAAACCAGTACATGCGTTAGGATCAAAACCCAGTGACGTTGCCCTTCGTTTCTCAGTCAGCCCTCCTTGTCCACCATGTTCAGAGAGTTCGGTATGATTACATGCTAGATCAGTCCCAGTCCAGCTGGCCTTGGTGAGCTCCCATTAGATCAGCCCCACCATCTCAGTTGGTGGGTGCACCCCTCACAGTCCTGATTTCCTTGCTCATGTTCTCCCTCCTTCTGCTCCTCATTTGGACCTTGGGAGCTCCGTCTACCCAATCTAGAATGCCTTTCTTTCAATGTTAGTGTTGTTTCAAACAATGATGAACAAAATAACTATAGATTATTTTTCATTTTATATCTCCACCATTTACTTCCTGTGCTTGCTGAGATAAATTGCAATAATTCTGAAATTCTGGAATTTCTTCACTATAAGAGAGATGCCTGTTCTTCAGAAATAGTGTGTGAATCTGTTGATCCTACTTATAAGAAAAGGATTCCACAAAATTCATGAGGATTTTTCTGGAACTTAAAATTGCATTTACATAGAAAAATTTATTATGATGATTTCATACAAAATCATTTGCTTAGAGAGAAACATCACAGTACAATAACAATAATACCTATTTACCAGGTTACAAGGCAGAATAAATTTTAGTGAGAATGATGACAGAGAACGTAGTTATCAAGAATTGGGAAAATATTCACTTCTATGGCATTTTATTTTCTGTCAATTTTTCATTATTTTTCTCTTTGCTTTTTTGAGATAGAAGCTTTCTGTACTCTAGGTTGGCTGCAAAATTGCAGTTTTTCTATTTCAGTATTAGGATTACATGTGCATGCCAACACATTTCAATAGCCTTTTCATTATTTTTCTTAATACAGAGATACACATACTTAAAAAAATAAAAACAAGCAAACAAACTTTGCAACAATCTTAACTCCTACAGTACTCCAACATTTTTTTTTCTATACCGGATTCATTTATTCACTGTACACTTTATATTCATCTCTTAATCACTATGGTTTGGGAGTTGTACATTGGTTTCTTCATCTGTATTTAAAATGTTCTCTTGTTATTTTACTGCCAGCTAGTACTTATCCTGACTAGAAAGTATATTGGAAGCTCTGCCACATATTGAATTTGAAACCCTAGCTTTGTATTAGTCTCTCTTGCAAGAGCAAGTGTTACTAGATTTTTTGGATTAGGTTTATATTCAATAGATTTAGTATTTCTGTATTCTATCACATGCTTTTAGATTAGTGACTCTCAATAAAGCAAAATAATCTATAGAAGAGTACTCAATTATTCTTAAGGTATACTAGAATCACATTAATACTCAGTTTAAGCCCCAGTGCAAGATATATTATAATATTTTTCCTATTTTCCTAAAACTATATATGTATGCAATTTTAAGACTTTTGAATCTATATGTGTACAAGTGTTTTTTTTTTTGTTTTTTTTTTTTTTTTTTTGTTTTTTTTTTTTTTTTTTTTGGCTAAATCACTGAATTTTCAAGAATCTGAATTTTTCTCTTCTGGATGCCTGCATACTGAGTTCTGAACATACTTGTTACAAGAATCTCTAATATTTGGGCACATTTTTTTTTTATAAAATAATGAAATCATCCAAAAGTCTTAATCTCCCACCCAGTTATCACATGAGTGGGGAAAATTTGTTATGTACCTGTTATGTATCAGTCTTTTATAAATGACTAAATAAACTGAGGTCAAATATTTAAAATGGTCTAATAGATTTTGAGTTTGTTTTATATTAATTACACTAATTATCTGTTTCAAAATGCAGAAAATGTCCTAAATTTAGTATAAAACCCAAATATAATCAATCATTTAAAAGATTTTTCATATTATTTCGTAAAGCCTTAACATCTCACAGTGCTTTATCTTTTTAAAATACTTTAAGTTAACCTCATAAGAATCTTAAATGAATAATATACTCGATAAGTCTGCTTAAATAATAATAACATTAAAGTATAAAGAATCAACCTTGTGCCTGTGGCTCAGATAAGTGTGCTTAGATTTCATTCCTGAAATAAGTTTATTGACACTGTATATCTGATAACATATCAAAATTTAATTCATATTCCAGATATTGAGTGAAAATGCGAGCAAAATAAACATGACAATATACATGGTTCATCTAAGCTTTCTTCATTTAGCCACTAACATCTTTCTCCCAATGTAAACTGTATTTATTAAATGTATATTAAATTTGGCAAAAAGGCATACTATATAACCCTATTCTGATAACATTGTACTAATTTGTTTTCAGTCACTTCAAACTTCTGAATGTTTCCAATCTCACACATGTATACATACTCAGATAAGTGCTTTTTTCATGTAAACTCTACACCAGTAGAAGTCAGCATTGCAATTTTGAGACTATCATGCACATTGATTTCTGCTGAATGACTTTTATGGGAAATTTTCTCTTTCTAATTGTTTTGTAATCACAGCATTAGATATCTCTCATGTTTTTAAGGTCTTATCACATTTCTTAGCCGGGCAATGGTGGTGCACGCCTTTAATCCCAGCACTCGGGAGGCAGAGGCAGGCGGATCTCTGTGAGTTCGAGACCAGCCTGGTCTACAGAGCTAGTTCCAGGACAGGCTCCAAAGCCACAGAGAAACCCTGTCTCAAAAAAACAAAAAAAAAACAAAAAAAAATTCTTTGCAAAATAAAACAATTAAATTCATTATTCAAGGGCTGTAAAACTTTTTGTATTCTTTATTATATTCAAGGTGCTGTAGTTAGAGTATAAGTCTTGGTTAATTAATTTTAGTTGCCACAATGCTGTATTGACTTTCTCTGACAAAGTTTTATACATCACTTTATATATGCACCATATTTATTCTGAATACTTAAGACTACCTACTTAAGGTCAAAATAAATTTCAGACTATCAGAAAGTAGATGAATATATTTTTTATGTTTTTTACTTGCCTTCATCTATCTTTGACCTGAAAGAGTTAAGATGATTTAATCAACTATAATTAAATTAACTATCAATAAACTTGTAATTGTTAATTAAGTAAAACAATTAGGACAATTAAAACAATGTTTAAGTCAACAGATGCCAGGTTAAAATTGAAATGTCATGATTAATATTTTTTGCAAATGCTTAGATAATTTAAATGGTTAAAACTGAATTGTTTTCCTTATAACATTTACTTACCAGCTTATTTCAGCTTCTTCCAAGTTAACACTTGAATAGTAATGGTAACATTCTGTTGGTGTTTCATGTCCATTTGTGAGTCATTTTACAGATGTTGCTCATTACAACTCTCCTGTTGATAAAGAACAGTTGTATGTGCCTGTTCCTTTCCAAGGCAAGTATAACTGGAGTTTGTTGAGAGTTAAGGTGATTGAGAATGTTTATGGAAGGTAGAACTATTAGCTGACTATCATTGTATAATCCTGTATATCCCAACATTCTGGATCCAGCCTTACCTGCAGTCTGCCTCAGCAGAGCTTTATAACAAAGGAACAGGGAGCCAGGTCCGCTGAGAAAAATACTGATACACTGATCTACACCTCTCAACATTTTTCTTGATTTCATTCTTGATTTTTGTTTGTTGCTGACAAAAGTGTATTTTCTAGAATATGGTACATATTTTTATTATTATTTAAAATTAACCAAAATTAATAATTCAGAAATGGTACTTGGATGTACATCCTCAATATACATTGTAATAAATGAACTTCATTTAAATTTTATAGAAGTTAAACTGTTCAAAGTAAAGATTATTTGGCACATGATGAATTGTTGTTTTGTAAAAATGAACACATTTAAATAGTTAAGAAACTGATTATCACGAAAAAGTATTTTACTCCCTTTCACCACACTTATTTCCATGATTACATCTGTGTTGATGGATGTAAGTCAGTACATCTTTTATAATCTTTATTTGATATTATCTTTATTCATAATATAGCTATAACAATGAGTTATAGCTTTATGTCATAGTTCGGGATTTAGAAATCAAATTGGTCACATAATACTTTTATTCAACAGACCAGAGATTGAGAGAAAGAGATTGTGATGAAGATGAGGCAACCCTATGCTATAAGATAGGACCCTGTCCCCCAAATAAAAAGTAAACCAACAGATAAAATGCACATCAAAATCATATCAGTGGAAGTGAATTTGGAGAATGAGACACATGTTGGTTCTTGAGCTACTTCTGACTGTTTAAAGTAAAATGACATTTAACCACTAAATACTAAATATGTATCTAAATAAACTTTATAAAACTTTGTTTTGTTTTGTTTTGTTTTGTTTTGTTTTTCAAGACAGGGTTTCTCTGTGGCTTTGGAGCCTGTCCTGGAACTAGCTCTGTAGACCAGGCTGGTCTTGAACTCATAGAGATCCACCTGCCTCTGCCTCCTGAGTGCAATCTCTTAGCTATGAAGTACTATGCCAAATATAGCATATATTTTTGAACAAAAAGATAACTAAAAATATAATAACAAATTTACCTCATTGCTGTTACGTTCGGAATGTCATAAAAATTCTACAGATAATAAGTACTTTTGTCCATCCTTAACAATTTCAAAACTACCACAGAAACAAATCAATATTGTGATACATGCAAACATTTTTAAAGCAGTATATAAAGTAGAACCATTATTCTTTTCTCAAGCTGGCACTAGCAGTAGATTGACAGAATTTAAGGGATATAATCTTTCAATTTTTCAAGGTGAAAAAATCTGCATTGCAATGATAATTTCCCATTGTAAAAAGCAACTATTTAGTAATATATGTAAAAATCAAAAGTTTAGACACCATTATCCCCTGCAATAACTATTTTCTTTTCTCCCAGACATCAAGAAGTTTGTAGTAATTTGTTTTCTCAGCTCTTGCAAATTCAGCATCTATATAATTCCAATACCAAAATCTTATTTCATTGAACTAGGAAAGTATAAAATTTGTCTTAATTTTATAAAGGTTCATATATGTCTATGAGTTATGAACAGGACATTTTACTCTGTGGTAAAATTTTATACAAATGCCAGTGAATATAGCAAGAAGTGTAGTAGCTCTCTAGTCATAGCACAGCATCTAAATAACTTATTCAACTAAAGGTTTGTTTGCATACAATCAAATTTATTAAATTACTGTTAATATGAAAATGAAGGCCTCTTTCACATACTCCATTTCTAATGATGGACTGCAATGTACAGCATCCTACATAACTTCTCCTCACTTAACCAACACAATGTTTCAGTTCTAAATTCTGCTTATCAGAAGGAGGATTTTTATAATGCAATTCATACACAGTGTTCAACTATAGGTTTCCTTACAACTCAAAATGAATTAATTTTGAAAGAAGAAAGTAAGAAAAAAGTAAATTCATTATTAATTGATTATATGCATAATAAACTAGTATTAATCTAGGAAAAATAAGTAGAAATATTATTATTATTAAAAGTCACCTCATTTTGATACATCCATCTCAATCTTAAACACATATGATTACTTGAAATTTCTACCTTTCCTTTGGCACATATAAACCATAGAGAAATTACACATCATTCAGTCATTGGGGGACACAATGGGTTGAAGATATATAGAGTCATACATTTTAAAATATATTTAAAATCTCAATCGCAATATTTTATTCAATGTGTTACAACAAAGGAAGCTGGGAAACAGATTCTTGAAAAGACTTTGGAGCATATAGTATCATGATTTTGGAAGATAATTCCTGCATCAAAGAAAAACCTCAACTCTCTCAAAAGGCTTCTTGAAATATAAACACTTTATTCTCACAGTTTGAATACTCCAGTGGCTCAGAAGAAAACTTTGTACATCCTTGGAGCAATGTTTTTCTTTGAGATGTGAGTGGGAATGAGACTCAATTGCTGTGCAGTTATTTCTCCATTTCCATGCTTTATTTCCTTCCTGTTGTACAAGCCAGCATGTGCTGATGAATTTAATCCCACGAAGCAGTAAGACAAACCTGAACAGAGTGGAGGTTAGCGCTCATAAATAAACACAACACTATGTGTCAAGTAAAAAATATATTCTCCTGTACAAATCAGAAGAGAAAATAAAAATTAAAGAACAGATAGCAACTATTGTTTAAAATCATACCTACATGAATGATTAAAATACACTTGAAACTTGAAGAATTATCTATCTTTTTCTTATTGGGAACACTTCTTGTAATTTATTGGCAAGCAGTGATTTGTGTTACCTTAAATAAAATTTTATTGGCTTTTATTGAGAATTTCACTTAGGAAAGTTATTATGAGAATTTTAATATTGCTCAGTGAAACAAAATATTTCTGTGCACAAACAACAATAAAATTGTTTTGAACTCTATCATAAGTCTAAAAGCTTCAGTAGGAGTAAAATTTTCCAATGGTTTGATAAGCAAGTAGTTGGAGTATTTTTTGATGGCACATCATGCTCTAATCATGTCAGAGAGTGTACCATAAATGTATGTGCACAGCAGCACATATCTGGCAAGTTAAGTGCCTTTGCAAGTATGAGAGTTGCTATCTATTCACAAATCATTGAGTACTTCTTTTTATCAAATAGTAATAATAATAATAATAATAATAATAATAATAATAATAAACTTCAAATTTCCAGATTTTGTGGTCAGTGAAATCCTTTTGATAATCTAGTGAAGGGTTCACCAAGGCAGAAACCTTAATTGATAAAATTGGAGACATATTTACAACTTATTTTGTACAACAAGTGAATGTTGTTGTTCATTATATGTAGTACTTCCTCCTTTTCCTTTTCTTTTAAATATTTTTTTCTTTTTTTCTTTCTGCTGGGTTTTTGTTCAGTACATTACAAATTTACTGTCCAAGGCTATGAGTACAAATTCTCTTGGCCATTTCCATACATGTCAGCCAGTCGTTTAAAGCGGGGTCCCCAGTCACTTAGGTAGTCATAATTCTGATCAGAGTTTGAACTGATGGAATCTAAAGAACTGAGAGATTCAGCAATCGAGCCATTTCCTTCAAATGCATAGGTCTGCAGAGAATCATATGGAGGAGCTCCTGGATCCACGTCAGCCTCTTTCAGTCTTTCCCAAATAAATTCTCTAAAAATGACGTTATCTGGAATGCTTTTTAAAGTCGGTCGACTCAAAAACTGAATTTCAGGAGTCACATCTCTGCGGGTTTTGCTGTCTCGTATGACGTTGAGGTTTCTCAGAGCCGTCATGTCAAAGGCTTCAGTATCTTCTTCTCCCCCACCTTCATCATCATATCTGACGATGTTTTCTCGAATATCCCTTTCTTCGTCAAAAATAAGAGACTCCTTTTTTCGTCTTCTCATAGTAACGATGAGGAGGATTAGCACTGAAATGTGAGAAGGCAGAGAGAAAATGTCAGCAAGTGGAGAATTATCACCTAGTAGGGAAATGGGCTGGTATCCCTGTTTCACAGGAAATCAATCTACAAATGTGCTAAAACTACAAACAACTGCCATAAAACGGAATGCTTTTAGACATCAATTTTTTTCCCACACCTGTTCATTAGTGATGTCTTGCTTTAATCTCCAAAATATTTGATAGAACAAATTAAAGGGCCAATCGGAATAAATATAATGCTTTCAAAGCCATGCCACACAAAGGGAGATTTGAACTGCTTAATTTTTGTAAAGGAAAAGAGTCATTTATAAATGTTTTCTTTGTCTAGATTAGCATGTACAATGCCAGATGGTAATGGATTACAAAATATGACCAGGTTCTTTGAATAAATGCCTGGTACTTGTTATGAAATTCAGCTCTTTAATGAAATCCAACATGTCATGCCATGTAGAAAGATTTAAAACTTCTATAGTAAAGTAAGTTCCACTTTCAAGTGTAAAATACTGAATTTCTGCTCTGTATTACAACTAAAGATAAAAATGGAGATGTGAGGCTTTCAGCAATTGACTTAAGAAACTAGTTTAACATCACTGACTTTCCTCTTACATAAAAATACAAGCAAATGTTGAAATATACAGTTTCTCTGAAAAGAAAAATAGAGCAATAAAATAGCCTGAGTATAACAGAGTTTAAATGCATTCTCCATTGTTAATACAAGCAAATTGATGGAGACTTCACTACATTGATCCCAAGACTGAGAACAGGTTACCTCTCATGGCTGCCAGACTTGAGCTAAAATGGGGTAAAAGGACTGTTTTTGCATTTTGTTATGTGTGTGTGTGTGTGTGTGTGTGTGTGTGTGTTTAAAACACAAAAGTGTAAACAGTCTTTTTTAGTAAAGAATATTTATTTTTATTTTGTGGGTGTGGAAATTTTTCCTGCATACATTCCTGTATACCTTGTATGTGCCTGTCTTCTGTGAAGACTAGATCAGGGCATTCGATTCCCTGGAATTGGAGTTACAGAATGCATTAAATGAATATGTGGGTGCTGGAAATCAAAGCCACATTCTTTGTAAGTCATCCAGTATTTTTAACCACTGAGCCATCTCTCCAGCCCCCCCCTCCCAAAAAACAGTGAAGTGATTTTAATTATTTGCCAAAATCCAAAATGTTTTTAGTAATTTTTACTGCTTTGGCTGGAATATTTTGGAAGTTACAGAAGGCAGAAAAAAAAAACATCAATATATTATTGTTTGAGTATTATTATTTTCAACCTATTTTAAAGTGTGTAAGTGGAGGGAAAAGGAGAAAGACGGGGAGAGAGAGAGAACAAGAGAGATAGAGAGATGGAGAGAGAGAAAGAATGGATGTGAGCATGCAACAGTGCACATGTAGAAGTAAGAGGATGGTGTCAGGTGTGGATATGATATGGGAAATTCTATATGCTTCCACCTCCGATGAAGAACTATAGACAGCAGTGATGACTGTGAGAGGGAGAATCAGTTGCCTCAAGGAAGGAGCTCACACATAGGTTACCAAATTCCAAGAGGTCACCTCTGAACATATGCACATGTGAGTAAGCCTACAGGACCCGGTAGGTTTTATATCCATATGTACATATGCATATAACAATAATAAAAAATAATATAAATTTGGAGAGAAGAGACAGAGGTTGGAGAGAAGATAGAAAGATTGAGAGTTCTTGTCAGAAACATTCAAAAATAAAACTATTATAAAAGAAATATAATAATTTAAAATTTATAGATCATCTTCACTTTAGTAGTTTATGATTATTTCCTCAGAATGAAATCAAGGACAGCAACAACAGACAGCCAAATGGGAATTCTTACAGAGAAAACAAAATGATAACATACCTATTAGAAAGCTAAGTATGAGAAAGAAGAGTATGATGATAAGTGAACAGGAGACAGCAGGAGGACATAACAAATTGAGAACAAATGGCAATAAAAATTTCCATGAATACATAAACTTAAGGGAGCAAAAGTTAAGAAACAAGTGCTATGGAACAGATAAATTTTCTTTATATTTAAATCATTGCCTAAGTAAACAAAATATTTCAAAATTTTCAGTCTTTTATAAAATTGATATCATATTTTATACAAAAGAATCATACTCTTACATTTGCTAAAAGTACTTGTTATGTCATGTTAAAATGCATTTCATTCCACTATTAATACTGCTGTTGTAACTCAAGTTTTCAATAGATATGAAACCCTATATCAGCTATATTGGATCAGCTTCTGGTAAGATATAAATATTGAGTCTTTCAGTATTGCTTGAAGATAAAAAAAATACTACTTCTTTTGGGAGGTTGTATGATTTAATGTTTCAATGACTAGGGAGAGAATTAATTTTTAGTTATCTTTAAGTTACATTATTATTCTTTAGATGCCTGTTTGTTTTCAATGAGAGACATAAAGGAAGTTAATCTAGATGTTAAGGGATGTTGAGAAGAACTGGGAGGAGTAGAAGTGAGAGACACTATAGCCAAGACATATTTTGTGAGAAACAAAAAGATTTTCAATGAAAGGGAAAAAATTTTTTGAGCAGTTTCCAAAATTTAAGAACAGAAAGATGGACCTTTGAGAAAATCCAGTGTAGCACCATGGGAACAAATGAATAAAGTAAAGAACTATTAAAGTAAGAATGAGGCCTACAGGTAGGCCCTGTGGGTCTGGACAAGAGTCTAGAACCTCATAGGAACTAGGCCTCAGCCAGGACCTCTGTGAATCTGGGACCTCTGAAATAGTAGGCAGGAACCAGAGATCTCTGAGGGTCAAGGCATGAGTCTGGGACTTCTGATGGGTAGGCTTGAGCCAGGATCTCTGTGGGTCTGGGCATTGGTCTTGGACATCAAAGGGAGTAGACAGAAACCAGAAACCTCTGCAGGTTAGGACATGAGTCTGAGACCTCCAAGAGAGTAGGCCTGAGCCACAGACTTTTGCGGGACTAACACAAAGCCAGAGATCTTTGCAGGAGCAGAACCAGACAAGTGACATTTACAGAAACAGGTCTGAGCCAA